AACAGTTTTTAGAACAGATTTCAGCAGTTATCGCTCTCGACCCTATGATCCAAAGAAAATTTCAAATGTATAATAAACAAAAAAAAAAAGTTTTTTTATTACTCTTTCGGTACCTATCCGACAAACAACAGAGATGAAAAACGGCGAAGACAAAAAACATCAGTCCAATAAATATCGAAGGACATTGTGCGCGATACAAAAGGAACGAGTACTTTGCCTCCGACAACAAAAGCTATGAATATAACTCTGAGAATAAATAAACACGCGCCACTCAAAAACGAAGTGTTGAATGCTTCAGAGAAAAGATATTTTACTAAAATTAAGTATGGCTCCTTGCCTAGAAAGTGAAGGGGGTGAGCTCTCTATTGCTTATGGAAGTCAAAAAGGGAGAACTGTGAAGAAAAACTAATAAACTACAATGGAAACGAGAACTTTTTAAGCATCAAGAATAAAACTCAGTGCCAGGAAGTAGTTATAGGAGGATATTCTCTTTCCCCTTTTCTTAAAAATCTTCCTAGAAGCTACAATGGCCCCCTTTTCTACACGAGGCTGGTTTTGAGGTCCGTGTGAATAATCGTTATGGAACTCTTCGTCTCCAGGTATGAGGGGTGTAGTCGGAATAGTTCGTATGAGTGATAGTGTGCTCTTTTTTAATCGCTTCTTCGTCTTTTGAAAATACTCGAGGGAAAAAAATAATGTTTTCTTTGTAAATGTATTGAAATATCCCCATTTCTGAAATGTAGAAAATCTACTGTTATACGGTGAAAATCATTTAACACGAAGCTGAGGGGACTGATATATTTGTTCGTTTTAAAGGATATTGCATAACAAGTAATATAAAAAAAATTAAGTCAAATCCTACTAAGATCAACAAAGAAACGTTTTATTTTAGCTACTTTTTATTAAATAGTTACAATTAATATAAATCTGTAAATACATAGGACAGAATCACAACATTAAGAAGCAATTAATTTTTATTAATTAAAGTTTCGTATTGTCATCCAAAACAATTGTGTATATAAAATTTCAGTTCAAATGAATGCTTTAAAACATGAGAAAAAAAACTTTTTTCAAGTTTTGACACAAGTCGCCAAAAGGGTCGCTAAGTCGCCACCGTGGTTGTATTTGTAATTCTTTAAATAATCAGTTTTAATCAAATAATTTTTATTAATTATAGTTAAATTATTGTATTGTCATCAAAAATAATCTTGTATATGAAATTTCAGCTCAATTCAGTGCTTTAAAATTTATTTTATTAACGATTGAAAATTCCACCAAGATAAATAAATATACACAGAGTGTGAGTTAATAGTAGGAATTGAAAAAGCATATATTCAACAAAATTAAGTTTATTAGAGTACATTTAATTTACATACATATGTACATATGCATGTGTTTGATAAAAATCAGTGAAACAAAACCATTCACAAGAACTTAATAAGAACTTAATACAAAATTTTCAATTTTTTTAAAACACAAAACATTTATTGAGTTTTTTGAAAATAGTCTGATATTTATCTTTGCGTTTTCTTTTTTAGCATCAAATTGTCAAAAAATTGATCCATTTTGTTATTCATTTCACCATTGAAATGTGTATCTAAGTAACTGCGCATACTTTTCAAGATGTTCCTCATTTCGGATAATGTGGGAACAGGAGCTGCATTATTCATTTCACTTTCGTCGCCAAAATCTGCATGAATAATATTTTTTGAGCTTTGAATAAACTCTAACATTATCATGTCTGCCATAATTGGGGCTGCACACACATTATCGTCATCTACTGAAACGAATTCTTCTGATAGTACAGTAGGACAGTTCAATAATATTTAAACATTCTCAAACATTTAATTAAGAGTCTGATGTTTTCTGTATTTTGCTCATCCCCAGAAGGGAAATCTTTTTGTGTTAAGCGATTTTCGCGTTTCGTGTTTACACAAAATGAAAACGCATAAAAATACATAGTAATTTGTTATGATCGTTGTATTATTTCGTGTTAACCGAGATTTCGTCGTAAACGTTTTCGCGATAAAATTATTTCACTGTATATCTTTTTGAAGGTAAGATATTGTTAATAGTATAAAGTTTTTTTACTAATACAGAATCAGATATAATTCACACGATGATTTTTAATGAGGTGTAATATTTTTTTACTTATTAAAACAATTCAGGAGTTCGATGAATCAGACATTCATATAATATTTCAGCTTGGGAGGAATAAATTAAGTGACAAATAGAATGAAACTGAAATAATAGAAATATAATATATTATATGTATTATATAATATTGAAATAATAGAAATATAATAAAATATGTGTATTGATATAAATAGAAAGAAAATTCAAATGAAAACTAAAAACTTATGAAGAAGAATATAGAAAAAAGAGAGAGACTTTCTGACGAAGTTTCGATGAGTTTTGTGGCATAGGGTTAGAGTGAGTGAGTGAAAATTAACGTCGCACTGTTCAGCTACACGAGGGCTTTTGGCGACGGACCACGTAATTTTGAACCATGGTCAAGTGACGTGGACGACACCTGAGCTGGCACCCCCCTCTCCTAACTACCACACTACACCAACGGGGGGACGTTTCAGCTCTCGACAGGCATAGGGTTAGAAAAGCACCCTGTAGCGCACCTTTGCTTTCCCCGTAAGGTGACCTTTCAGGTACGCACCCGACAAATTTGAAAATATTTCATAGTACCATAATGCATCATAGGCCCAGTAGTCGAATGGTAGCGTATCGAGATTCCACACGATAGCTCCGGGTTCTATTCCCGGGCTGGACAAGGTCGACTCAGCCTTTCATTCCTACTGCAGTGAGTCGATAAATGAGTACCAAGCTTGCTTGGGGACTTAAACACTGGGGGTCTCGCTTCAGACTGACCACCTGATCGGGGCATCTACTCATACTCCTCAGTGCTCAATGGTCACGTATACTGGGATTGGCCCTCATGGGCTGTTGCGCCACTGAGTTTGAGTATAATACATCCTCATATCCTCTACGGCAGCGGTTCTTAAACTTTCGCTCCCCGTGCCCCCCCCCCCCCCTATATGAATCATCTTGATATCGCCGACCCCTGAGATTTTGAACATCCCTCTCTGACTCTCAACATATGGCTGAGTGACTTAAAGGTTCCTGAATAGTCCTAAGACTGCCTTTACTACTTATACGGATGTTTTAACACTTCTTTTTTTTTCTTTAAGAAAACAATAAACATATAATGAAAAATATTACAAAATACTAATTTAACTAAATTAATATCTTTGATCGAAATACATGTTCTAATATAGCTTTTTTCTTTAGGGGCAATTTAATGATTTAATTTAGGACGACTGTTTCAATTCTTCCACGAGGCCTTTCATAGTTTGTAAAATAGGGAAAACTTAACATTAAATGAGAGACCTTCGTGGACCCCTTAGAACCCCCCGGGGGACCGAGAACTACAGCTTAAGAGCCGCTGTTCTACAGCATTTAAAAATTCATCCTCATTTTCCTTTCCCGAAAAGGCCATACCGGGTAATATAGCTATTCGTGAAGCAATTTCTAATCCAAAGGTGGGAAATGTTGGCGCCTAAGTAGCGAACCTATACCTGTTGTTGTGAAAGTTTATATAAGGAAAATTCGTCATTAACAAAAAAGGCAACTTTTATTTCGTAGCCATAATTACTATCAAACTAAACCAATGAAGAGCACTTAAGTTTTAATCCACTCCAAATATTTATAATGAAAAAATAGTACTTATCAGTAAATGTAGATATTAAGCTGGATTTTCTGAATTCCACCACTAGGTGTTCAATCCCTTTTACAGAATCACTGACGACTCAAATGTAAACTGTACTATAATCGAACAAAAAACATTCGATTGCTATCGTCTCTTTTTTCTCTCTCTTTTACGAACTCAATTCACTTGACTTTAAATAGTAATTGTTTGCATAAATCGTAGTTCATTTACAGAAAGAGGCGCTCCAATAAATGTGTGAACAGTATTTTCCTCTTCTCTTTTAGTATTAGTAGAGAACCGCGAATAAAATCTGTCATAACTCTAAATCTAAATCCGTTGTAAATCAACTTAATCCACTCCAGAGTCACAATGCTGGTTGGCCATATTCTAACTATGGTCAGAACAACCACGCACCACATTAATTTCTCCTACATTAACAACTGACTGACTGAAATAGATGATTATAATAACTACTTAATCCGGTCCAGTTACAATGGTAAATGATGACTTCCTCACTATAGACAGAGCAGCCATACTCCACAGTAATCTCTCCAGCTGCTTACAATAATAATATTTATTATTAGCGTATTAGCACACACGTTATTATAAAACGAGCGTAGGCTTTTTAAAAGTAGTAGAATTGATGGAATGTGATAAAATCAAGCTGAATAAATTGAGAAATATATGATTCACATAGATTACGTTATATTGAATGAGAGTTGCGGGTTGCATTGGGGAAATCAATGTTATCAACTCCAAAAGGAAGACTTGAAGACAAAACATCGTTTGTTATTTCGTATTATATCATAGACCAATTTCGCCAAATAAAAAGAAGGTGCCAAATAATGTCATCTCTATAATTACCATACACATGAACTTTCCGTTATTGTCATCATATTGTGGCATTTGGCGACGTCTTTTGATTTGACGGAATTGGTAGACGGTATAATATGTAAGAGCCCATCATTTTTTTTTTGTATTAGAATATAATACAAGTTATTTAAAAAAAATAAGTGAATTCCCACTTAGATCAATAAAGAAACTTTTTATTTTATTTACCTTTTATTAAATAGTTACAAGTAATATAAATTTATGTATACATATGACAGAATCACATTATTGACAAAATAGAAAGCGATTTTCCTTGCAATTCTCCATTTTCCTTACTATAAAGGGTGTTGGACCATTATTGTTTGTTACTATTTATTCATTAATTAAATTAAACTATTCTAATAAAATAGAATAGTAAAAAAAGAAATCAAATTCTCAGAAACTAGGCCATCCCAGGTGGGATTCGATTCCACGACCTTTGGACAAGAAATCCAACGCGCTATCCATTGCGCTACAGGGACACCACGAACGATTTTCCTTTCTATATATGCTGTTGGACTATTATTTTTGTTTGTTATTATTTATTAATTTTTTAATTTAACTAATGAATTGAGATATTTGAAAAAAAAAACTGTATTAACATCAAGTGTCATCCACTACAAGTTTTAAAAAAATGTATTTTAACTTGAATGAATGAATAGAAAGTAATTTATTAACGGTTGATAATTTGAACACACACATACATATATATTATATATAGGGAGAGAGTGAACTAATAGTAGGAATTGAATAACGGAAAGATTCGATCTTATCTAAGTGAATATCAAGGGATAGAACTGGGAGAAATATCCTGCTCCGTCTTTGATGAAATAGTACAAGGCTATGACAATCGACGTCATAAATATGAACTCTTGGGTTCGAGTCCTAATACTTGTGTATAGCGACTAATTCACATTAATCTGTTGAGGCTCAAAGTCCTTATGCTGACGTGATATGAAAGTTTGGAGAATAGGATGCCAGGTTTAGGTGTCAATCCCTTCATTTGAATGATGTGCAAAATAAAGAAATACGTCGACCTCGTGTTATTTCTAAATGCGAAGTCAACTAGTGATCAATTAATTTGCTATGCAAAAACAGAATGATGTTTTGATCGTAAAGCCCACCATCCCTCTCTTTGAAAATTAAATTCATTCCTGTTTCAAGATAAATTTCAACTTTTCTTCCACTTCAGAAGCTAATTACTGTCTTTAATTTATATTCTGTAATTTTTAATTGCTTCTTTCATTCCATTCTTATGGTGCTATTGAGATAAATTTTCTTCAAAAACGGACTAGTTTGCATTGTTAAAATTAGTTTAGTAGTTTTCTTGTTTTGCAAGCAAGTCTGAATTTTCAAAAGAAAGCTTGGTTAAAATATCGATTGCAATCCTTCTCTAAAATTAAAACACTTTCAGCTGCAGCTGGGACGGCGGGTATATATCTGAAATTTTGCAGTAATTTTTTAAAAAAGTAAATTTGTCGTATTTTTATCAAAGCTCTTTTCTGGAGAGATCGTATTTTTTATATTTATTTTTTTCTCCCTTTTCTAAAAAGAATAGGGGATATTGGGATTTTACTCTATTTATTTACTTAGTTTTAATATTCATGTAATAATAAAAACAACATTTATTTACATAAATGTTTTCTTCTCTCCATTGCAAAGTAAATAATAAATAGGAATACAGTATCAATTTAAAAAAGTGTCGTTTGCATTGTGTGTAGAGACTTAGAGCTTAGAACTAGCATTCAGTTCAAGTAATATGTCCCCAGTGGAGGAAAATCTATTTATGTTTTTGTTTTGTTTTCTTTGTAAATATTTATAAAATCTTAAGATCTACGAAACATTTATAAAGCTAAATAAGTCACAGGTATTCACTTCCTTATGGCTTATTACTTATCTCTCGCTGACTCATGCCGAAGACAGTTAAAGTATCCGACTACGTTCGGAACCGTGATTTTGCAAAAACGTATAAATGGATAATATTTATGATATTTAGTGTCACTTAGATTAGAATACATATATAAAATTGTTGTAAGAAAAGTATTACAATAAAAAATTATTTAAGTACAATATTTTGGCAAAAAATGAACATAGAATGACCCATTTTCAAAATATACTTTTTTTGTGAAAAATGCTTCTATTATGATAATACTCTTTGCCTGTTTATAACTCAGACCTCTCTGCAGAGGCTCAACTAGAATTTTTGAAATATATAACTTAGAAGTGGATTTATCCACATTTTATTACAACAGAGGAGAGAAATTTTAAGAAAAAAAACAACGCCGATAATTATTTCAATGGGTGGTAACTCTGAAACTAACGTAAATTTTTCAAAAATCCTAGTTCCAACTCTCTGGAGAAGTTTTTACTTTATATAAAAAAATATTATTATTATAGAAGCATTTTTTATAAAAGGAGAACGCTTTGAAAAAAGGTTATTCTAAGTTAATTTTTTGCCAAAATATTGCATTTAAATAAATTTTTTTTTGTCAAGGTGTCCTTAAAACAGTTTTATACATGTATTCTAATTTAAGTGACACTAAATATCATGAAAATTACCCATTAATGCACTTTTTTAAAATCACGGTTCCGAACGTAGTCGGATACCTTAAATAGCATAAATTGTATTTGAATGTTTAGTGAAAAGTACTGAAATAATTTTTATTATAGTGAAAGTATGAGATTTGACTAAAAGACTTTTGTATACGAAGGAAAAAAATCGTTCTTATGACATTTAATACTGTAGTATATATTATATTTGGAAATTAAACTAATATTTGAGTGCTATGACATGCTGTCATGGCCAACAGTGCATAAAATGGGCGTTAAGGCATCAGAATTGAGTCACCGGGATAAAGCAGAAAGCCGCTTGGTATGTCGAATCATGTTTTCTGGTCAATCATATTGAATAGACCGATTTCTGGAAACCCTGGTATCAGGGTACATTATTTACACTGACAGGATATAAGGCGATGGCTGAGGTATTGCGGTGTGAGTAATTTTTTAACGAGGCACATTAGGACCTATCATTTCCACGGAGCAAACCCTGATGTTTGTGCTTGTGTGAACATCCTTGCAGAACTGGTGTATCAGGTGTTGTGCCCAGTGTTCCCAGTGGGCTGATGGCGTTTAGCATCATAATAATGCGCCATGTAATAAGACCGAATAGTCAGGGCAGGGTTTGAGAAATATTCTAGTGAGTTAAACCCTTTCGGGGGCTTGGGAAAATTACTTCTCATCTACATGATCTTACAAAATACACCTGAGTTGAGTTGAGTTGAGTTTGGTGTTTTATGGCGCAAGAGCCAGTTTTGGCTATACTGCGCCAAACGCCCATCGTGGTCTGGACGGAAAAAAAAGAAATTGGATGACAAGATGGAGGGTCGAAAATAGAGAAGGATCACTGGGGTACCCCGGGGTCGTGGCACCCGTGTTAACCAAAGATAGTAAACCCCTTGGTAAAAGGAAAAGATCACTAGGGTACCTCGGGATTGTGACACCCGTACCCACCTAAAGAAGGCGAGCCCCCTGAGGGGACAAAATACACCTGAGGGAAGTGCAAAACCTATTGTAATGTATTGGCTGTGCTATTATAACGATGAGAAGACTAATTCCCGCTTCAATTTTGTGCTACTGCACATAATCCAGCGATTATGACATCTGTAAATTGAACAAAAAAAGATGGTTCTAAAGAAGATGTACTTTGTCCAAAAGTTGTCGCTGTATATAACGATGTCATGGGAGGGGTGATCGCTTCGATCAAAGAAAAGAAAGATACCAAATACGAAGATCTGTCAAATGGTGGAATCGTATCTTTTATTTTCTTATTGACCTTGCCATCTAAAATAGTTTCATATTGTGGCAAATGAACAACAACAAAAAAAGAAAAAAAAAACAGAAGTTTAAACCACCTAACATTCCGTTTAGCATTATCTCGTCAGCTAATAGATGAATATTTCTCAAGAAAGAGGAAAGAACGTCCTGTTAGCTTCCAAACAAAGAAGTGTGTAGTTCCAGATATGTGCTTAGCCACAGTGTGAGAAATCCTTTGCGAAAGATGGTTTCCAGCTATAGACAATGTAGGAAATGTCGCAGAAAGAAACAAGAAAAGAGAACCCGCTACATGAGCGCAGAATGTGATGTCTCCATGTACATTGCAACATGCTTCTCATCTTTTCATGGAAGATAACCACCATTAAATTTAATTTTCTTTATGATGGTGAATTGTTCCTTAGAAAGTATTCTTCCAATCCCTAAAATTTAAAGGTAAACATAAAATTTGGCAAAATAAAATACATTCCCTTAAATAATAATTTTTAATTATTGGTAAAACAAAAAACGCGAGAAATATATATAAAGAGAAATAAATGGCCCACGATAGGATAAAGCCATCGAATTCCTCTGACATGAATCCAATCGAACATTTGTGATTCCACTTGGAAAACCGAGTTCAAGCTGCCACGCTGTACCACTTCGCAATAGAACCGCGCAATATTTGATGAGTACTTGGTACCACTCAGACAATCTTGGATAGCTCAGACAATATGTCAATATCCAGTCGAGGGAATGATTCGCCAGGTGTTGATAATCTTTAAGATGAAATGTGGTCTTGCTTCATATTAAGCAGGTGGTCATAATGTGATCATTCTTCAATGTATGTATTCATTGTTTTTAAAAAATCAAATTATTACGATAAAATTTTGTGAAATAAATTCCAATTTTAATGAAACATAAAATAATATTCTTCGAATATCAAACGACCGAATGTATTTTTCCTGTTTTGATAACACAGGGCAACCTAACTACGGTTATATTTCTGTTGAAAGGTCACTATATTGACCATTTTATATTGAATATTTTTGGAAGGGAAATGTTTTGCGATCAGGAAGGATTACAAAACACCATTCAGTATTATTTTAAGTAACTTAACAAGTCGTAATTTATGGGATGATCAAGTTGGTGTTATGTTAAGTATATCTGTGTTTATAAAGAATATGTCAAGAAATAAAAAGAGTAGACAAAGAGAACAAATTTAATTTCAATAGAATGAATTAAATATTTTCTTAAATATATATGTTACTGTTATATATTTTGACTTAAAATTTTATTTTCAGACCCACTTTGTATGTACAAGTGTGTTTGTGTGTGTGAGGGATAAAGAAAGAGAGAGAGAAAGAGAGAGACAGAAAGAAAGTGAGATACAAAGAGAAAGAGAAAACAAAGAGAGAGATAAAGAGAGAGAGACAGAAAGAAAGTGAGAAACAAGAAGTGAGAGAGACAGACACAGATACAGAGATAGAGACAAAGAGAGACATATACAGAGACAAAGAGAGAGAGAGCGATAGAGACGGAGAGACAGACAGAGACAGAGAGAGAGAGAGACAGAAAGGGAGATAGAAAGAGTGAGAGCCAAAGAGAGAGAGTGACAGAGAGTGAGGGACAAAGTTATATATATAGAGAGAGAGAGAAGGAGAGAGAGAAA